GTGGTGATGGGGTGCCGTATACCCCTCCCGGAGTCTGATTCCCCCTCCCAGGGCCGTGCAGGAGGCCGGGGAGTGAGGGGAGGCCGGAGTGGGGTGGGGGGCGCTGCGAATCGGCGGCGACACTTTCACTTTCGTTTCTTGGCGGCGGAGTTGGGGGTGCCCGGTTCGGGGAGAGGGGACAGCCCGGTCCGCTCCCCACCTTCCGCCGACAATCCACGCACACGGGGGATGCTAACGGGGGCCCCCGTGGCACACGCTGTCGGCGGCGGGGGAGCTGCCCGGTGCACCTGAGCCACGGTGTCCCGGTGTCCAACCGCGGTTGGCCGTTGGTCTCACTTGAAAAGGGAGAATCTGGGTTTTTCTGCATCTTCGGGGCGCTGCAGGCTAATGAAAGATGAAACAGCAGCGAAAGAAATGGGGGAAAAAAAACCCACAACAAAAAACAAACAAACAAAAAAAAAGGAAACAGAAAGTCTCTGGAGAGAGGCTGGGCGGTGAACGCTGAACAATGTTATTTATTCCGCTCTGCTCCGTGTGAGCTGTAGCGGTACCTCATTAGCTCGGCTCTGGGCTGGGACTGCCCGGTAATTACCAACACCCCGAAGGTGTGGTTGTCCCCATCCCCTCGGGCAGCAGTGGCCTTGCAGGGCCTCTCCTGCCTTCACTGATGACTTCCAGACTGTTCAAGTAAAAAAAATGTCAACGTTAATAAAATGCCCTCCCCACTCTACTTCCTGTCATCTTTTCCTGGAAGTGAGCTGCAGACTTTGCCATCAGCGCACTCTGCGTGGCTTCTGGGTTTGTTTTCCTTCACATTCACAAGTATTTTTGCCAAAACCAACATCTTTTTGGTTTTGCAGCAGAATGCATTGTTTTGCCGCATCCAGGCACCAACTCTTCATTTCCATTGCAAGTTACTTTTAAGCCTTGTGGTGACAAGGGCTCACGTCTTGTCCTGAAGCTTTTTCTGACTGGTGGCTGTCAAGGGTTCTCTGCCATTTGGGAACTGCAAATCCTAAAGGCACATCAAGGTAGGAAAGTTTGACATCTGCCAGATAAAGACCAAGACTTAAGTGAATCGCACGCCATTTCCTCGCTTTACTGAGGTAAGTAAAAGTGAAACTGTAGCCCTGGGTGTCCTGCACCAGGGACAATAGATGTTTGTGCCATATCTCTTTCTACTGTCTGCCCTGCTTTCTGCTCCCTGCAGGACAAATTCTCTGTCCTCCCAAGGCAGCCCTTGTCAGTGCAGTTATCACCACCCTTCACAGCTGAGGTTATCTTTTCCTTTCTGAGCACAGCCCTGCAATCCCCATCTAAGCTTCTGCCTGGTTTTCAGGCTATTCTTCGGCATAGAATACAGACAGTCTCCTGGGTGAGGCCAAACTAAAAAATGCAGAGTTCCAGGGAGTTCATTGCCCTGCAAAAATTCTGCATTTCATCAATCAGGAGATGACCTAAAATGTGCCAGTGGGATGGTTGCTTGTGATGAACTTTCCCTCTATTCAGAGGTCAATCCTTGCTCGCTGCTGCTGTCGCTGAGATCAGCTGAGAAAGGTTCTGCTTTGGATTCCTGCAGTTGAATTGTCTGGGATTGGCAGCAGGGTTTTCTCAGCAGTGATCTGCCCCTTGATGCTTTGCTAGGGCCGAAGTCTGGCTGCCTGCAAGACGTAGTGGCCCAAGGGGTGATTTAGTGTTCTATTTCCAGTCCTGCTTAGGCTCCTGGCAGTTTGGATACTCTCTTGATTGATACATCCTACAGATTTCTATTGTGTTATTTGTAGTGCCACGATGCACTGCAAAGTTTTATGCCTAGATAACTCGAGCAGAAGCTTTAATGCTCTTTGCTGAGCCTGCTGTCATGCAACAGGTTCGATACTGAGAATCATCCTGCAGTTTCAGTGTAGCAGTCACGAGCAGCAAGGCTGTAACAGCCTCATGACACAGGCTTGTGAGACAGAACTGCCACCACCTGCCTAACCAGGATCTCCTCCGTTTGTGCTCTGCCATGGGACCTGAGCTTAGCAAGGCACCTCTCTTCCCTTGGCGCCAGGAAGCTGAAGATGAAGGATACTGTTATTTGGAGGTCAAGGCATTGCGTTGGATTTGAGTGCAGAAGACGGGGAGGCTGCTGAGTTTGCTTATCACCAGTACGAGGGTTTTGTGTGTCTCACCACGGTCAGCCTGTGAAGGTGGCGTGTGTTAGGGCTGGGACTGCACAAGTCTTGGAGCTCCTAACGTGATAGATTGTAAGCTGGTAAGCTGCTATTTTTGTCTTGGAGCCTTTTGCTGATGCAGCAAAACCTCTCCTCAACCAGTGTGCTAGTCTCCAGATTTCAGAAGAGCTGATGCACCCCCACATTAACCATCTGTGGTGGGGCTGTGCCTGGAATGGCAAATTACATTAAAAACGTGATGTGAGGGTGCATGTGGGGACAGCCAGCATTCCAGCAGGGTCTTCCAACACAGGATCCCACCAGCGTGCTCCTGCTGCTACAAGACACCCCTGCCTCTCCCGTGTAGCAGATCTGTAGGGTAGTCAGTGCAGCCGGTTCACGGGGTCCCATGCAGGAGAGAGGCTGTTGTGGCACACTAACAGCCTCAGAGCACCAGGCACCATGGCTGGGAATCACAGAATCATCTGGGTTGGAAACGCCCCTGCAGCTCCTCCAGCCCAGCCATGACCCTCACCCCGACCCTTCCCAACTCCCCCAGATCCCTCAGCGCTGGCTCAGCCCGACTCTTCAACCCCTCCAGGGATCCCGGGGACTCCCCCCTGCCCTGGGCAGCCCATTCCAACGCCCAACAGCCCCTTCTGCACAGAAATCCTTCCTCAGAGCCAGCCTGACCCTGCCCTGGGCAGCTT